TCTTCTCCTGTTTTCTCCAATTGAATGTATTCTTCCAGTAATCGACGACTTTCTGCAGATAATCGCCATTAAAACCGTAATTGAATTGAGTGCCGGCTATTGGCGACACATAACGGGCTGAGTCTAGCCGTCGGCGCAAATCGTTGAGCACATCGTCGGACACATTGATTGTAAACTTATTGATAGCCTCCGGGTCTTTGGGTATGGCCTCACCCGCTGTTATATAACAGCAAAACAAATAAATTTTTATTAAAAATCAGTTTAAAGAGTGATTGTTAATAACAATTTGTTATAAATAAAATGTTACAAACTTACGTTTGAGTGCATTTTTGCCAAACCATAGCTCCGGTATGTGAGGTAGCGGTGGGTCGGGTGTCAAAAATAGTTGATATACTACGGCACCGAAGCCGACAACTATTGCCAGTAAAAATAATTTGCCGATAAATCCCATGCCTTTTCACATAAAACAATACAAAACTATTTTCACAACTATTTTCACAACTATTTTCACAACTATTTTTAACAAATAATTGATTTGTTATAAAAATAACGTTTCGCTCAAATGAGACAATGAGACAGAAATATAATACAGTATTTTAATTAATAGTATTGTAATGAGAAATAAAATATAAAACGTTAAATAAACTGCAATATAATCTATCTCACTCGCTATGTTTGTCTGGTAACCAGACTCTGGCTGTTAAATAATGTTTACATTAATGAATTGTTTAGTGCATTGAAGACATATACCGACCCAATGTCTCCCCCTCTCCATACAAAGTGTCCTTGAAGTTTGACTATGGGAACAGGTTTGGCACTTCAAGTTACAGTACATTATACCCTTTACTGCATTGTAAGTTAGTACACTAGCCATCACTCTATCCCTTATATCTTACAATACGGTAACTTTCTTACATAATGCACTAAATTAGTTCGCTATACATGTCATGTATAACTTATTCTGTAAATATAAAATCAATTCATGTAAATTGTAGCTTATTCTGGATCTCAACATGTAAACTAATTAACATGGTAATCACTAGATTATGTCAATTTACTGAATCTGCCAGAATAATGAAGGTAAAATTAATCATGATCGCCATAATTAATATTTTATCTGTGCTTAAAATATGCATTTAGGCAAATAATGTAAGGTATAAACCCGTTATTATGCACCCAAATGTAGCCTTTTATCGACACAATGTACTGTTGTATCCGTGCGTTTATAACACACCATCCTTGAGATCTCAATCAAGTTGTTATATAATTAAATATAAATTATGATAAATTTATAAATTACATTACATTAAACAGTTATCGCAATCACTATTCAAATGGAAATAAATATTTATTTATATAAAAATAGTATTTTGTTTGTTTCAACAATCAGTCTATCGATAAAAAAAAGTTTATATTAAAGATAATTATAAAAATTGCTTAAAATATTCTGTAATCAATAATAATTAATTTATATATAAATACAGTGAAAAAATAACTTAAATCTCATTTACGTAAACATTTCAAATGAAAACTATAATTAACTAAATACGGATTACAACTGAAACATCTACACAATTAATAATTGTCAATTATTATAACTTTAAAATTAAAATTACAATAATTCATAAGTAATAATGAGAATAACGGGAAAGTAATTTTGAGCGATGAAAGCAAAATAAAACACAAAAAATAATAAACTAATAATAAATTATAATTAAATTAAAACAACCAAAAAACCCAAAACACAACAATCAATCACTTTCTGAAGACTTATCGGATTCGCGTAATTTGGCTTTAATTGTGATCACATTCTCGTAGCCGTTAGCGGCCAGTCGTCGGCCGTACCACACATTCTGGGCACAGGTGGCCAGCGCTCGGAACCGGTCGTTCACCACCGGTAAGTCCATAAACAATAGGGAACCGGCGAACACCAGCGCAGTGGCCGCCCAGTGGGTGCCGGTGAACGGGTTTTGAAAGTAAAATATCGATATGATGAGCGAGATGAATTTCCTGATGGTCAACACCAGGGTCACTGTGAGCGAAGTGCACTCGCTCATTAAGATCATGACACACATGATGCACGAGTACTGTGTGACCATGTTTGCCACCAGATATAGCCACAGGTAGGGTATGTTCAACCAGGGACTGGCGGGCGAGGCGTTGAACATCAGGGTCTCCGAGTAGATGTCGGGCAGCATCAGTAAAAAGCCCGGCAATGATAGCGCGTGCTGTTTATGGGAGAGTATAATCAATTAGTGGTTATGTTGAGAGAGAGAGAGAGAGAAAGCCCTCGACCGCTATGAACAGGAACTGCGAGAATGTGATCAGATTTCCACTGCCCGGAGAGTATCTGTTATAATAAATATATCAATACTTTTAATTAGTAT